AGCGTGCCGGAGTGGTAGTTTATAAGAAGTTCCAAATGACTTAGTTCGATGCATTTGTAGGTTGATTGGACTGCGACATTACGCTTAGCAGTCCGCAACGAGTACGATAGGCAAGCCTTTACGGACGCGGATTTTAACTACTAAAATGTCACCAACAGTTGACTGTGTGAAGGAAACCACTTGGGAGGTAGAAACGCTTGTGTCCACTAAAGTTGGGATCTCTTGGCCTTCCATGGTTGACCCATTTATCACAATAGCCGAGAATGAACGAACGGCACGGCCGATCGAGTAAGGAATGCAAGTCACAATACGATGGATCGATGAACGGATTATTGTTTGGATAGTGTTCATGCCGCATTTATCCACCCCTTCAAGCGATGCGATCACGCCATTTGTTCTGGACGATGCCGTCTTGAAAGAAGAAATTTTTGAGCTTTTGCTTACCATAAAAACCACGTACAGCCTTGGTACCGATGGTCTTTCATCTTGCCTTCTGAGATATGGGGCTTGTTCTCTCAGTGAATTATTCACATCATTTTTTAACAACTTAAAAACTCGCTACTTATCAGACTATTGGAAACCAGTAACAATTGCTCCGATTCCCGAATCCTGTACTTCAAACGTTCTAACCAAACGCTTTCGACCTATCTATCGCTTCAACCTCTGCTGGATTTAAACTAGCAGAACTTGTTCTTCTTACGCGCATTCAGTCCTCCATTGTCGTCTCATATGACTTGCCTATAAACCGAACACATGCATGCTAGATTCAGTTTCCTCTTTTACGTAAAATTACCAAATCCTTGAATGACTCTGCGAAATGTGTCCGTTGTGTATTTCTGGACTACTCATCTGATTTTGATTCTAATCCTCGTTCCCTTTCTCTTAGTAAACTGGAGACCTTTGGTTGTCCTAGACAGTTACTGGCTTGGCTTGCCGATTACTTCTCCCGGAGGACTCGGTGTACCAGGTTAGGTCGGAAGAAATCCAAACCTCTGTTAAACAGTTCTGGAGTACTCCAAAGTGCAGTTCTTTCCCTATACTTATTTTCTACGTATATTAGTGACTGGTTTGCTAGAGCCCCTACTTCTCCCTTCAAATACGCTGACGTGTGGTTTTGTGTCAAGCCATCTCCGACCCTTCTGGTCTTTCATAATTTTCTGTCAACTTGGATAACGTTCAACGGTTTTCCGCCACATCTGGTCTGTTAATCCCTCCAAATGTCTCTCTACGGTATCACGCTCTTCTTTCTCATCTGAACCGGTATCGGCTGGCTCTGAACCAGCATCCCGGGTAAACTGTATTAAATACCTGGGTGTTTTATTGATATTTATCTTGGCTGGACCTCTCACACTCAACACATCGTCAATAAGCTTCGACGACTTTCTTTTCATATCCGTAAACTTCGTCAGTTTCGTATTCAACAATCAATTATTTCCAAATGTGTGCCAGTGTGTTTTCCCCATTTTATTTTATTGCTCACCTGTCATTTTTTCCAACCTCCTAAACAAGGATTTTAAACCGCTTCGATGTGGGCTGACTATCATTAGCCGTGTCTCTTCAATCCCGCTGAAGGAGTTGGTAACCTACCTATGCGAACGTCATTTGATTGCATGTGAAAAGTTTGCACATAAGGGTCTTATCGACTCCACACACCCGCTACATGCAGAACTAACTTATTTTCGTTATCATCCTTCAACTAGATTCCAATATCGTCGTGTTCCGTCTCGAATAGACACAAATCACAAATCTACAGTACCCTCATTAGCACGTATTCTAATTAACAAGCAACAGGTTTTCATAGAATTTGTTCACAGTTTTGGGATTTAAATCTTTTTTTTGCATTTTTATTTTCTCCCTTTCTCCAAACTGTATATTTTCAACTGAACTGTAGACTTTTTGCCTACAGAAGTTATTACAATACAATCCGGTTCCGGTGTGGATATAGATATGAATCGTTCTAGTCTGTTTCGGCCTAGGCGCTGACAAATTTGGTGCGCGAAATTCCACTGTCTCAAATTTAAGCGCTCGCTTTGTTTCGAACGAAATTTTTCGAGCATTTTAAGATAACACTGGCTTCGAGATACGAAGAAAGAAATAGCATTTATGTTATATATATATATATATATATATATATATATGTATAATTGTGTGATGAATTGCGTGTCTCTATGACCCTCTGAGTTACGTAAAACGATTTTTCGCAACCGTAGATGCTGAAAGGTAAATGAGTCGAGGTCAACCAGGTCAGTCTCAAAAAGTCAATCACTTGGGTACATCGCGGCTTCTTTGAACTATCGACACTCACCCCTGGAGAATTTACTCTATCAAATAAACAAGAGGGACAGTTTACCGGTCAAAAAACCAACTAGATGGACTTGGAGTTACCTTCTGACGGTGGAAGTGTTCGCACTTCATTAAACAGCTACCGCCCGCCCAAGTTGGGTGGCCTCCTGACAATAAGGTGCTGTCGCGTCCACATTCTCCCCGCTTCGTTCACCAGCAATGCCGTCTGAATCGATGAGCTGAACATTTCGATAATCTGCTCAAAAATCGAAATCAGACTTATCACCTCCCACTTCGACTGGGTAAACATTCCACTACAGCTAATTCTTGACCATCAATCAGCGCTGGGGCGGACGACACCCATCATTTTACAATTTGAAGGCGCAAAGCTTATGCCCAGGAGTTTCAGAACTTGAAATAGCGCTTTGCGCATCTTAAGAGGCATAAGGCCTCCGGCCCAGATGGACTCTCCTCGTGCGAATTTTAGGATGGAGGTTGAGCGTTTGGGTTGGAGTTGACGGAACTGTTGGGTTCGATATGGGAGAGCAAACGGGTTCCAACTGAATGATGTGAATCGGTCATCTTACCGATCAACGAGGTGACAGATCCTCCTGTGAAAAATAGAGGAATTAGTTCAATTTGCATTGCTCACAAACTCCTCACTAACATCAGACTCCGTCGAGTGTTACCGCACATGAAAGATGGACACCTGAGATAAGCTGGTCTTAGACTCGGTCAAGGTTGTACAGACCAAATATTCAGCATTCACCAATTTCTGGGACACCGACATTCTTTTCGTAAACCTACCATATCTAGATTCCTTGATCTGAAGGTGGCCTTCGACTCCGTCGACCGCTCCAAACTCTAGCACCACCTTTCCCTGTAGGGTGTGCCAGTTTATTTCAATATCACAATCTCTTGATACGAATGGCCGAGCCTACGGCACTTAATCACCCGAGTTCACGACAGAAAGTATTGTTCCACACGTTCGCTCTCACTCTCCGTTTCTATTTAACTTTATCATAGATTTAATTCTTGAAACAGCCCAATCCTCCTGCGACGATCGCGGTATCGATTCACTCCCAGGTGACGGACTGCCTGATTTAGAGTATGCAGACGACACTGTACTGTCAAGTGAAGACCCAGACGACTTGCCAGTTGCTCTGGATAGCTTAAATGTTAGTGTAGCAATGTTCAGTGTGCATTCTGCAAAACGTTGCGACAAGATTGAGTTGGTTCAGTTCCCAACCTCACGCTAACTGGGGAAGTAATAGAGCAAACGGGCTGGTTTTGTTATATGGGCAGTTATACCTCACCCGGGGGAACCATCGCAGATGAAGTGTCGGCGCACATACAAAAGGCTCGGTCGCCATTTGCCAACTTGGGACATCTGTGACGCCGTTGCGACAACCGGCTGTCTGTGAAGGGCCGAGTGTATGCTGCAGCAGTTTGGTCAGTGCTACTCAACAGCGCAGACTTGGCCACTACGGGAACATAAAAATAGATTGTCAGTGTTCGAACACCAATTTTTACGTCGCATTATATGAGTCTGGTGGGGCAGCTGGACGAGCGATGCTGAGGTTAGGCTCTGAGTTTTAGGTAATCGCGATCGTCCACTAGAAGTAGTCAACCTCTATAGATTACGCCAGTTGAGGTATGTGTTACGCATGTCACCAGATAGGTAGCCACGGCGAGCAATGTTTGCCGAAGCAGGTAGCGGTTGGAAAAAGGTTAAGGGTGGTCAATAGATCTGGCATGAAGGTATGGAAACCCTAACCATGAGATTGGGCCAAATCGGTCTCGTTAGGCTCCTTGGTTAGGAACCCCGATATCATGGTCAGAGACACTGAATGATGCAGCTGGGTGTCACAAACAGTGGCGCACATGCATCCACTCATTATTCTTGTAGTCTATCTACATGGATTCTCTTAATTTCTCCTAATTTTTCACTCAAGATCCCAATCTTCATTCTGCTCTTATATTCAAATGGACGCCCCAAACCGATGCACGAAAGTGCATGGTCAATGGTTTCGAAAACTGATTATATCAGCAGCTACATCCCTTGTAAACCGATTCTGGGGGGAATCGTATTACAATTGCTACCAAAATAGCAATTTTGCGGTATAAGCACATCCATAAGGGGAAGTGTAGGAATTCCGCAGCACCGTTGTCACCATCATTGCGACGACTAACAGGATTATCAAAAATTCACCGCTCGTTCATCTTTTCAGCTCGTTTGTTCGTGAAACCATAGGGATGAGCAGGCTGACTCACAATATCTTCCTCGTCTTACACAAACTTCAGCAGATCAAGCCTCAGGACTGTGGCATATGTGCCAGAGCATATTCCATTCAATCAACTCAGATCAGAAATTCTATTTTCTCACCTGGGCCGTCTCGCCAAGGTCATATAAAGCACAATTTTTAGACGATACTATAACAATCACACAACCAATTTGCGGAGCCGAAAATCGGGTGTCTTAGTGTAAACCAAGTCAGTCGATGAGGACCAGTGAAAACAAGATAATCTTGGAAAGAAACCGGTTTATGTTTCATAATAAATACGATGAAATTACCAATAATCGGAATATCCAACAGAAAAATGAGATGAAGCACAAGATTCACACCAAATGGGATAAGTTTAAGTGGATGTTGACTATCATACGAGTACATGCCTAAAAGAACAAAAACACGGGGGAGGGACAATTTACAAGCAAATCACAATTCCTCGTGCGTATCGGCAGCATCTTCTGCACCCTCGTCCTTTTTAGAGGTGTCTTTACCTTCCGAATCGACGAATCGTTTGAGGGCTTCCAACGTTCTTTCACCGGTGTAATCTATTGGCTGAAAAAGTCCACGTACATGTTATAATTAAAGTCGCTAGTTCATTAATTAAAAAGCAGGTGGTTAAAATCACAAGAGAATAATCACTAGAAACCGACCAGTATATAGAAGTGAGAAACTTTGAGGTCAACGAGTACCATTCAATGATTAATTGTTAAGGGATCAGGATAGAAGCAGACTATTAGAGTTCGAACACTGCCCACGTCGTACTGCTGATGCAACCGGTTAGGCAATGTCTGGGGGTTAGGGAAATCGCATTAGCCAATCGTGTTGCAAATGCGTGAACTCTAGACTACGACAGCTGACGCTTATTGAGTGTGTCACTACACAGGCTTCCTCGGTATGAGACGTCTGCAGAGTAATGCAACAACTGGAAATGCTCATCACAGGACCTGGCACCAAGTTGTGAAAATCCAGACCAGGACAGATCGCACAGGCTTTCTGGTTAGAGACCCTGGACATATATATATATATATATATATATATATAGCATAGGAAAAAAGAAATGCGAAGAGGGTCCAAATACAAATTAACGTTTAAGGGTATGGCGACAGGTGCGCCATTGACAATGGTTATCTTGTAGATCGGCTAGTGTTTCAAGCCATAGACGCTCGTTGTCCTTGGGCTAACCATTGTCAAGTTCATGTGACCATTTCTGGTGCACATGATTCATCTGCTTTAGGTGTTTTTTGATAATCTACTCCGTCTTCGGTTCTCGTATCAACCCCCTGTTCAAAAATCAACCAAATGAGTAATACAAAAGACACGTCTATGACCGTAGCGAAGGTTATTTGTAGCCGACAGGAAACAAGATTATTTGGTTATTTTATTAGCCCGATGCCTCAGAACTTACCTCAGAAGACCCCTTCGGATAGTACTTCAAAGTTGGAAAGCTTTGTACTGAAAGGCCCTCGGCTTCATTTGCCGTGGCATCCATTTTCGCGATGACGATTTCTTCCTTGTTCTTGTACGCTTCGCCTAGTTCATCCCAAATTGGAGCTAGCTGTTTACAGTGTCCACACCACGGGGCATCTATAAAATGAGCAAGAAATAAAAAAAGATGATCAGTTGACCTTGTCCATGAAAGGGTTTATTTTTGTCAACATTGTTTGGTGTGGAATAATAGATACCAACCAAAGATGTTTGTATTTTAAAACACCCACTTGTCTAACACAAGTTAAACTCGATCGGCAAAACACTGAACAGGTCTTACATAGTTTCACAAAAACGGCCTTCGATAGATCGCTGACTACATCGTTGTAGTTCTTGCCCACCAAAACACGAACAGGGTCTGTAGATGGAGGCGGAACATCTTCACTCATCAAAAATGGTTTTCGTTTTCCAGATAAAACCTCTTCAATGAAAGCTTGAATGGAATCCACTGTGAATTCGGAAGAGTCCGGCTTGAATTTGGTCATGTCTTCAGCCAAGTTGATCAAACGATAACCGGGAACATCAGCTGACGTCATGCCGAAGAATTCAAGAATTCGTTGGTTATCCGGTACGTCCGTATCGATAACAATAAAATGCGCCTGGGGAGAAAGTGGCATAACAATCGAGGAATCAAGGTTTCTACACCGATTCTGGTTTAGCAAGCAACAGTAAAGTAAAATTGAACCAACCATTCGTAGAGCACCGACACTAAACATGAAGTGCACAGGCAACAAGTGTTCTTAGGTATTGGCATCAGAAAAGCCATACAAGTTTACGGTGGAATACATTTTTTTCTTTTTGAACGACTTATCCCTTTTTCCGATTGCAACTAGTTGCCCATTACTGTTGCTTCGGCATCGTGCTCATTTTCGAGCTTATATATAGCCCCACGCTGGTCAGTTCAGCGGACGTCAGAGAAGGAAGATTTTGTTCCATTATCACAACTCGGTGTGAACCATTTAAGGGATGAATCCCGTAAACATCAAGAGCCAGTTTAAATTAGGGAACCCTAAACCCAGGACGAGACGGGACCTAGCCAACTACAGTACCATATTAACATGTAATTCTCATTGAACGATGTGCCATCGTAAACATTTTGTGACAGATCCGTAGCGTGTGCCACTAAGGGGAACTAAAAGAACGACTGCGATATAATATACTTGTACAATAAAGTCAAAGTGGCCGAGCGAATGCGAGGTTTTTCCTCACACCTTTTGTGTGATGAGCAACCGGAGTAAACACCATAGTTACCAGGACTTGTTGTTTCGTCATGTAGACCGACAACTTCGGCCCGAGGTTTAAAGTGACAAACCATTCAAAGTCCCGCCCGGTTAGACGTGGACTAGCAGACAAAAGCGAAGCTGCCTGTCAACAGTTAGGTGGTGACCCTGGGTTCGAACCTTGGACCATAGGGCACAGAGCACGCCGATAACAAGATTGAACTAGTTTTAATTTCATTCTGTGCAACCATTGATCGTAAACATTCCTGTGTCGGTTGTGGTTGGTCTTTTGGCTGCCGATTTGGATGAAGGGGAAGAAAAATTCAAAGTTGAGAGCAGTGTCCAAGAGAGATGGAGAACCCCGATAGATTAAGGTTGCAAACGGAATGAGTAGATGCACAAGCGCCACTGTTCACGGTAATCAGTAACAGCCCTTGGTCTCTAACCATTGATTACATTAATTACGAGGTCTCCCCAAGGAAGCCTGACGCGACTCATGTGAGAGTTTCCTGATCAGGTTTTTCTTATTCTTCGCTTTAAAACCCCTGGTTATTCTTTCCGCCCACTACTTACATTGGCAATCATTACGAGTCGAGGCGACATGCGTAACACAAGCCCAAAACAAAGCAGTCTATGGAGGTCGACTGCTTGCTCTAGTGGGTCATCGCGATTACCCATAACTCCGCTTCTAACCCCGTCATTGATAGCCCAGATTCGGGCAATGCTGCGTAGACAGCGTTTAGAACACTGACAGTTTATCCTTTTTTCCAGAACTGGCCGAGTAAAGCAGCATTGGCTGAACTGCTGCAGCATAGACTAGGCTCTTTACGGACAGCCGGAGGTCGTGACGGCGCCACATATTTTTCTGGTTGGTGAACGCCAATTGAGCCTTCTGTGTAAGCTGACACTTCATCCGTGATGCACGCACCGGGTAAGATATGGCTTCCGATATAGCTACATTTGTCTACGGCCTTCACTACCACCCTAGTTAGTGAGGTTGGGAGCTGAACCAGCACTTGCAATAATATTTTGAACACATCGAACTTGGCTAAGCTGGCACGTGATCTATCCAGAACAGCTAGCAAGTCAGCTTAGCAGTACTGATGGCTTGTCTCCCCCGGGGGGGGNGGGGGGGGCAGATTCATGCCATTATGCCACTGTAAGAGAGTTAAACAGAAAAAGAACGAGGGCAACCCGGATGAGCTCTGTTTTCCGCGGTGAACTCGAGTGAGTGCTGCAAGCCGAAACTCGGCTCCACCTGTTAGTATCAAGGGATCGTAATATTAGAGGAAACCGGGGGTGTCATGTATTAAACAGTACAGCTTGAGTTTTATATAGATTTTCAGTTGACGATTTGCTTGCTATGTACACGTCAATTTACCACACTAACCGAATCAAATTCTCTGCCCCTCTCATGTCATGAAATTGACCTTTGTGAAACTAAGTTATCGTCTACAGGCAAGTAATGATAACTATCCCTAGGTCATATCGAAGTTACTTCACGTAGCTGAAGTGACCACTGAGACAATAGATTTCATCCCAGACATGAGTTTGAAAACAATGTCTGACTACCAGCGGATAAATTGAGCATGGCTAAAAACCGTGAAAAACGATTTTACTGTCAGAACAACCAGTGCACATGACCTACTGCATTAGAAGTGCCTCGAAAAAAACGAAGCCTGAGGACAGATTTGTTAGCAGTGCTAACGATAAGCGAAATATCGACTAAGTACTCCATTTTCGACAACTGATGCTGAATATCGATACTTAGGCAATCTAACCAAGGGCGCATGATAAACTGCTGCGGATGACACCTAGCGGTTAGGGTGGTTGGGGTATCCGGTAGGAACAGCACCTCTGACTCATGGGGTTATTGATCCCTTCGTGGCATCCATTTTTCGGTCTCCATCAGGCGCTTGGCACTCATCTGTGGCTCCAAGAAGCCACTTGGATGCACTTGGATGTTCGCCGAAGCAGATACCGAGTGGAAGAAAGCCAAGGGTGGTCAAGTTAAGACCTGGCACGAGGGTGTGAAAACCCTAACCAGGAAACTGGGTCACATAGGTCCTGTTAGGCTCCCTGGTTGGGAACCTCGGGATGATCGTAACCGATGGTTAGAGACACTGAGCGATATGGCTGGGTGTCGCAAACAGTGGCGTTCTTGCATCTTCTCAATTTCTTTCCAACCTTAGTCCACTGAACTTCTCCATTTTCTTTTCGAATCCACTTTCAACTTTCCTTTCTTCTCCTATTCTTCATCCCAATGGGCAGCCAAAAGACAGCAACCGAAACCGGTGCACGAAAGTGCATGGTTAATGGTTGTTCAAACTGAAAACCGAAACTTGGATGCAACAGTAGCCAACCCCCGGTAAACCGTTCGACAGGCGGGCCGAACCAGGTTGAGGACAACCGGGAGCTTAACTCTCGGCGAGTACGTTTCCAAAAAAAAGAATGCGGCAGTGGACGAATTTGCTTACACGACTCACCGGTCAAGACAATGACTCCATACTTACCAGAGTTGTACGGACCCCTGTTCAGCTAGCAACTGTCAATGGCTTATGGCCCGTGCGAAGCTTGGGTGGTGTCTTATCTGGTTCAAACTGACACGATAAAAATTATACCTGGTTTACTAAAAAAAATGATTAGACTATAGAGTCAGCATTTTCATCTGGAGAAACTGTTCTACTAGCGCTCTGAGGGTATGGGTACGGATGAACCAGACCGCCATTTGTCATAAACACTGTTTGAATACGGGATCAGACAAGTCAAACGTAATAAAACGAGAGGTAATACAAATCAACCGGTTTTAAAGCAGTTTTCATGTGCCCGGGTGAAAACTGACAAATGTGAAAGTTGAACGATTCAGTCCAAAAGCTGAGGCATTCTGAGACCAAAAAGAATGTAAACTACTAGATACGCCTCCGAGTTGCGCATAACGATATCTGTACTAAGAGTAAGTTGTGGATTGAAACGACCAAACAGCACCAATAGCGCAGTTTTTGCTCACTGGAAGCACTCCTGGATTCCGATGGCTCAGTTAACCTCTCTTCACAACACTCATTCGTGAATTTAGATGGTTATTATCTGATAAACATCTGCCAAACTCATGTGTGAACTGCCATATTTGCGCCATCGCGAAAGCCTCCTCCAACGATGATTACCGGCCTTCGAGCTAGCTTTCGATCAATCACCAGCTGCTGGTGTAACTACAGCCGAATCTAAATGGAGCACGTGGAAAATAGCCTGACCGCACAGGGTGGTGGTGGCGCAGTGGTTTAGTCGTTGTCACCGGCGTGCTTTGGACCCTATGGTCCGAGGTTCGAGCCCCGCCACCGCCACCCGACTTTGGTGGTAGGCAGCTCTGCTGTCGTCCGGTTCAATACCACGCCTAACCTATCGGGGCCTTATGTGGTTCGCCACTCGAAGTCCCGGGGCTTAGGTTGCCGATTTCAACCACTGAACAGCAGATCCTCGTGACTATGGGGTTTACCCCGTCTGCTGTTCATCACACCTAGGTGTAATAAAAAAGCTGTCAAAGATCTCACAGAGATCGTTGTGTCTCACGTTTCTCCCCTCGTGAATGTGGTTTAACCAATGTATCAGCATTTGTTACACAACCCGTTATGAAATAAGACCGCGCTAATATACGATATATATATATATACTACATTCACACGTAGCTGATCCGCTTATGCTCGTGAACTATGGTCTCCTTTTGTTAAGCCCGTAATCGTCCCGTTAAACCTTTGTTATTATGAAGTATCCAAATAGTCTCCGCCTTCTCGTTAAAAATAATCTGATAGTTTACTGCCTGTATGGGTTGACTCGGTTTCATTAACAAATGTGGGACGACCCACGATTTTCTTTTTAATTTGCTCAGTATCAACTTACACATGTGAACAGAGCTGTTTCAGGTCGCAATCATCATAAACAGTGGCCACCAAACATCCCAGATATAATGAGCGATATGAAGTGCTCATACGGTTTCGATGGGTTTAACTTGAATGGTCAGAGTTGCCTCCGATAGTAGACCCCCGCCTTGCCAATATTCCACCCACTTATTATTATTATTACCTTATTTGTTATTATTGTCATGGTTTATTTGGTGCAATCCGGATTCGACTGCACGAAATACACCATAGTGGTGGACCCTAGAACGACACGTGAACTTACTAGTGATTACTATCTATAATCAACTCCAGGGGCATATGACACAACCTTTACCCGGTTTCTGGCCAGTGCTAACTATTAAAACTGCTTTCGATAGGAGTCAAGCCGGACTTGAAAATGGTTGCCGTCGCAAACCTCATGGTAAAAATATCCCATGATATTCACTGAAGTAAATCCGTCATTGTCGATCGCTTGGAGAAACTGTCCAGGTGAACAGAACGCATATTTCTAAACTGCACATAATAAAGCACGACTCAGAACCAGATACCTTAAATCCCACTGGTATAAACTTGGATGCGCGTGAGGCGCGCGACTGTTTTCGTTATGAAAGCCTGGCATGATACGACGATACAAAAATCACCTAATGGACTCACTTTTCCTTTAAATTGTTTAGCCACTTCTTTGAGAACATTGAACGACCTTTCGTAATCACCGGATTTTGCCACGAAGGAGACCACATGCTTACGAATTGGACTTCCGAAGACCATCCCAGCGGTATCCTGGGTGAATTCCACGACTAGTGGGATGCTTTCTTTTTGGATGAACTCCGTCAACGCCTCAGGAGTGATCTCTCCTGTGTGATCAGCTCGTCCGTCATCAAACTAGAGGTAAACGACTCTTGAAAATATCTTACCTTTTTGAACACAATTACGCGCGAATCCGAGTCGACTTTATAGTGATCAAAGGCCTCCTTCGACGATATATGCCCGAAAGTGTATTTATCATGGGCGTCAGCGACCGACGATATCACGTTCTTCACTTTTTCGTCCGAATCCTAGGGAAATTAGGTGATGTCACATTGATATACCTGAGAAAATGCAATCACAACGACATCATCGGATTCAATCAATTTCTGGGCATCTGACAACGTTTTCAGTGTAACTACAGACGGGGCCATTTTCTTCTTCACCCAGCGAACAATTTCGTCAGTTTGTCTACCACCTGAATAGTCAATCCAGCCTCCGTTTTTGCGGAACTTGAGCGTAGGATAGCCCGTAACATTATATGAGCTCGCGAGCTGGGAATGTTGCGTGGCATCAACTTTAGCAATCATTACATCAACCCCTTCTTCCTTCAACTTGGCAGCAGCCTTTGCGTAATCCGGTTTCATGGCTTTGCAATGACCACACCAAGGTGCATCTGCAACAGAAACTCATACACAGAAGCAGAGCACTTACAAAACATGACGAGCACATAATCCTTCTTGTTAACTTCACTGTCGAATGTATCTGCCGTCAATTCTACAACGGCAGACTCATCCACCGTCTCTTCACATGTTACTTGATTCAATACAAGTATGGCGCAGAACAACACGGACAACAATCGAGTCGCCTCCATCGCACGACAAAGACGAAGGATAATGTAAACCACGTCGACAAGTGAAGCACACGTAAAGCCGTCAGAATAAATTGGATTGATGCAGTTAAACAACGGATCTATCGCTCTTGCAAATTGAGCGACCAGGTGTGCGTCTGAGGTGTTTTCAACATTTTTCTATTCAATTCTCTCTCTAATCCATTTTGAAATTTTGGGTTCAGTTCAGTTTATCAGTTCAGTTGGAATCCAATGTCCAATGTTCAAGTTCAGGACCGTGACGGCAATTGCCAGAGCGTCCAGATTCTTGCACTGGTGAACTCCTTCGATCCACCGGTGTTGCGACAATAGGAGAAATGAAATTCCTCTTCTGTTAGAATAGGGTAAGCAGACTCGGATATCCCGACCTGCAAACACTGATTCCACTTCGTTCTTGCAGGATCACAGTTGTTATCTGTAAACCACTTAACGGGCGGTCTGTCCAGCAACTAAATCATAAAAGTCCAAGGTTTTAGTGAGGCACTTAAGAGTGACTTTGTTCTGGGGAGTGAGATAGACATGATTAGGAAAGAAGTAGAAGCAGAGGTAATATAAGCAGCGAGAGGGCGCCAACGAGTAGCGGCAAGTGAAGCTCCGTTGAGCTTAGAAGGGGGTACAAATTTAAAAAAGAAAAAAGAGAGGGTAACCTGTCAGCTGAGTGTCTTCACTACGATCCCGCTCGGTGGCTCAGTCAGTCCGCTATGCCCGGCTCAAATATGTGCTCACAAACACTATCCAGTCGGTGTTTGAAGTTCACGACTGACGCGACCCCTATCACCTCCTCTGGGAGTTTGTTCCAATCATTTACCACTCTTTCCGTAAAGAACTGTGCTCGGAGTCTGGTCCTGACACGGTTTCTTTTTCCAACTTGAGGCTGTGACCTCTCAAATTTTGGTGTTCACTGAGTGGCAGTAGCGGTTGCACGTTTATGCAGACTGGACCTTTGGGGATTTTGAGGCCTCAACGAGGTCCCCTATTCTTCTTCTCCGTTTCAGAGAGAAGAGATTCAACTGCTGCAGTCTGCCCTTATATGCTCTCCCCCTTAGGTCAGGGAACCACCTAGTGAACCGCCCCTGGACCCTGCTCTAGCACCTTTATGTCCCTGACCAGGTATGGTCTCCAGGCCTGCACACAATATTCTGATTGTGGCCGGACAAATGCCTTGTACAGAGGGAGTAGTACCTCTAGTTTCCTTGAGCTGATCACTTGACGAAGCTGGTAAAGTGCCTTTGATGCTGTTAGGGCAGCCTTTTCGCACTGCGCTCGAGGCTGGAAGTCCGCTTGGATTGCCACTCCAAGGTTCTGGGTGGCTGCCCTTGCTGGTACTGCTGTAGCATCGCTTCCCATCCCTAGATTCCGCACAGTGTGCTCTGTGCCTGCAGCCACTTGGTGAACGGATTTGTGCACGTCGAGTGGCAAGCCCCACTCGGTAGTCCATTGTTGGACCCTATCCAGCTCATTTAGCACCGATGCGTGGACTGGGCCAAGGACTTTTACGTCGTCAGCGAACTTAAAGCACGGGTTCCCTAAGTTCTGATCGATGTCATCTACGTAAAGCACGAATAGTAGAGGCCCGAGGACTGACCCTTGAGGTACCCCCACTATGCATATGCCTTTCCCCTGACATTTCCTCCCCTAAACGCACCCTTCTAAGTGGGCTTGCCCTGATCCACGCCACTATTTGGTTGAACAGGCCTAACCACTAAAGCTTGCTTAACAGTAATCGATGGTTTACTGAGTCTTGAAGTCTTGAAGTCTTGAAGTGACTCTCGGGTTCGAGGCTGGCGCCCAATGGTCCCGGATCCTTGAGTCAAAAGCCTTCTGGAGATCTGAGGAGATGACGTCGACCTTTTCTCCCCCATCGATTATCCTCGTCACTTCCTCCAAGTAGCATAGTAGGTTCGATAAGCGAGACCTCTTACGCACGAAACCATGCTGTGATCCGGCAACCAGTCCGTGCCTTTCCAAGTGGTTGACTATTCTGTCTTGGATCACTCTCTCCATCACCTTCAGCACTACAGAAGTTAAGCTAAAGGCCTGTAATTCTCCCTGGCGCATTCGTTACCATCCTTTTGTATAGGCGTGCTGCCACTCCTCCGCTAAGGTTCCATTTTCTTGAGAAGCATTGAAGAGCTTCGCTAGCGGACCTGCCACTATCGAAGCCAGTGGTTCCAGGATGGCCGGATGGATGCCATCTGATCCGGCTGCTTTGTGTTCAACCAAATTAGAAATGCATTTTCCGACTTCTTCACCCTGAATTGGGTTATCATACATTGCCGGTACTTTTCTCGAACAGTTTGGCCAAGGTGTCCCATTGCCTGTCCTGTAAACCTGCTGAAAAATACCTTTTAGTACTTCTGCCTTTTTGTAGTCAGTGTTCGCCTCCGTCCCTTGTTCATCTCTCACGCACCCCACCGCACTTCGTAGGCATTTCTTCGACTGCACGTACCCGAAGTACGCCTTGGGGTTTGTTTTGGCGTCCTTAGCTAGTTTCACTTCATATGCTTGCTTACTTTCCCTTTGTACTCTAGTGGCTTTCTTCCTGGCCGTCAGGTACTGCAAGAGACTGCGATGGCCTCCTTTGGCTTTGTACTGCTTCCAGGTCTCTTTCTTTCTAATGTTTGCTTTGCGCGCACGAGACCTCTACCACGGTGGAGTTCCAGCCTTCCTGAGTCTCCGGATAGGAGCTCCTTCATTGGTGAGGTCTATTAGATTCCGCCTAATCACCCCCCATAGGGCCTGAACGGAGCTCGGTTCCACCGTCGGGTTCAGAGACGACACTCTCCGGATAAGTTCTACTTGGTTTATTCGGCTAATGTTTCTTAACCCTTTGTCGGGCACCCGGGCCCCTTCTAGGAGGTACGATAGGCGAACCACCGCATGGTCGCTTTTCCCTAACGGTGCTTCCATTTCAATCCTGTGGATATCGTTTGACGACTTCCTGGGGTACTTTGATAGCATCGAGGAAGCAGTTCAGTTCAGTTCTCCCAGGACGAATTGTGGCTCTTGCCAATCGCGCGTCCAGTTCTTTGTGTTGTCGGCGGTTTCGTTGGCTTCCAACACTTCGAGTCAATAGTAGTTTCTGAAAGGTAGAATGTTAGTGTGCAGTATCAGATCCCTTATAGTATTTCGGAAAGTAAAGCCTAACGATTAACTTTCAACACTCAACTTCAGGGAATACCACTGCCCAACATTAGTGATTTATCTAAGCTACTGCTCATGGGAGGGTTCAAGTTGACCAAGTGGATGTCCAACAGTCGTCATGCAATCGATTGCATTCCAGTTGATGAGCGGGCACCGAGTCTTCGTGAATTGTACGGGAGTCCGTTACCAACAGACAGAGCACTTGGTGTGCAATGGGACTCGGAGAAAGACGAATTTTTGTCCCAACTCCAGCTACATGAGAAGGCGTTGACTCGCAGAGGAATTCTGTCTTCGTTGGCCAGCCTTTACGATCCAATGGGGTTCGTCGCACCGTGGCTACTACCGGGCAAGATTCTGCTGCAGGACCTGTGTAGAAAATAGGTCACTTGGGATGAGACCCTGTGCGAGGCGGTTCACAAGACCTGGCAAGGCTGGTGGCTGAGCCCATCCAAGCTGGGCGATATACGACTCCCTCGTCCCATACCAGGAATACGCAAAGGAGAGCAAAGTGAGTTACACGTTTTTTCGGACGCGTCGGAGTTGGGATACGGGGTAGTGGCCTACAGTTGCTCGTCTCGGTCAGGTGGAAGGAGGCATAGCAGTATACCATCCGCTAAGGCCAGGGTTGCCCCTCTAAAGGCAGTCTCAATGCCCAGGCTAGAACTGGCCCCAGCAGTATTAGTTGTGAGGGTAGAGAAGGTGATCAAAAGATGTTTCAACTCGATCGAATGGACCGTAACTTACTAAACTGATTCCGCTATAGTTTTTCACTAGGTTAGCAATGTGCGGACGCGCTTCAGCACATTTATTGACAACCGGTTGGCTGTCATTCACGAAGAAACGGAGGTGTGTCAATGTCGGTACATAAAATCCTGTGACAATCCAGCCGACTACTGCTCCAGGGGTGTGCTGAACTTAAAAAAATAAAAACATGGTTACATGGACCGGCTTTCTTGACGGATCAGAGCATCGAATGGCCCGACACAGATTCCCCCTGTTGCAACGGAGTTACTAGTGACTAAGAGGACCGTTACGTTAGTCACTTTTGTCGTCGCCAAAATGCTACATTCAACAAACAACTGATAGCCTCGTTACCAAATTCCTGGGTACGACCAGGTTGGTGGCCCTTCGCCGAAACTGGAGTGGACTACTTCGGGCCACTTTGGGTGAAACGAAAGACGTCGGTGGAGAAACGGTACGGATGCCTGATGAACTGCCTACAGTCACGAGCCTCGCATATAGAGACCGTACACAGCATGTCGACCGACTCCCTTCTTATGGCCTGGCAGAGATTCGTGGGTAGACGATGTAACCCATCGAATGTGTTCTCCGACAAAGGTTCCAATTTCGTTGGTGCACAAAAAAAGGTTGAGCAACTGGTTGACGCTGTTAGACAAATGCGCCCTGCAAGACCAACTGTCGCCGTCTGGAACCCAATGGCACTTCAACCCAACCTACAGCAGTCACCGCGGAGGAGTTTGGGAACGGCTCATTCGGTCGGTATGAAAAATACTAACAGCATTATGTGAGCAACAGGTGCCGGACAATGAAACTTCGAGTACATTTCTGGTAGAAGCGGAAAGGACACACAACAATCGACCGCTTGTAGCCATCACCAGTGATGACCTGCAAGGACTGGCGATAACTCCGAGTGACCTTCTCCTATTGAGATCCAATGATATGCCAAAAGCTATTAGTGACTGCTAAACCTCGGGCTTGAAGCATGCGAACTACTTGGTATGGGTGTGTTTCTCCCGAATAGATCAACGAGTAACGCGTAGCCGAAATCGGATCCGAAAACGTCAACAAAACGAACGATCCAGCAAATTTCTACGGTACTGCACTATTAAACGATCAAATAAGCAAATAAAAACTGTACAAACCTCAAAGTGATCTCGAAACAACTTGAAAACAAGAGCCAAGTGTTACTGTGAGCGTAATTCAACAAATCTGAATGGAAGAAAATGAGCCTGGGTAAGAATAGCACGCTCACCGTCACGCTGCACTTGAATGAGCCAAATGTGAGCGCTCAGGTCGCGATTAAAACAAGTAGGGTAAAAATTGAAGCAGATAGACAAACAAAGTCAATTGGAAGGGTCAATGTGTAAATATACAAGGGGAGTGGAATGTCAAATGTTTATGTATGTGTGAGGCGGGTGGTGATGAGTAAATGGGACGTGAAATTCACGAAGTGTGAAACCGAGATAGATTGACTGGGCATTACCTGAAGGATTTTCACAGATCGATCAATACGCCGCCCGGTAAAATCCTGCCTCGTGTCACACAGTCAAAGGGAAATTCAGGGAGTATCAATTCTCACCCTAAATACCTAATCCCTATAGTCTTTGTACTATTCTATCGAGCCTATCGTCGTCTCCGCCAGCTCAGGCGGTTAGTCACAAACCGTTCTCCATGACTCACAGTGCCTCCCTCGCCAACCCGGAGTATTCCTCAGTTGCTTGGGTTCCCGGTTGATTCTTCTTCTTCCCCCTCCATGTAGCAGATTCGGTGGATATCTCGCAAGATTTCGCCGGCTACCGTTTTCACTTTAACCGTGCGCACGAGTCCGTCGTCATCCGGGAGGCATTCTTTGATGATCGCCAGGGGCCATTCATCCCGCCGCAGTCTTCCATCTGCAAGCAGTAACCAACCCGGAAGTTTTTTTCTCTGAGTATCCATTTCTGACGCGCATGTAGGGTAGGTAAGTACTCTCGGACCAACAGATTCCAGAAAACTCCCGCTAGGTAGGTGGCCTGTCTCCAGCTGCTCAAGTAATATTTCGTGATAGTTCATGGTACCGCCAGTCCGCGATTCGGTCTCAAGAGTATCAAATCGTTCGGTGTAAGCGCGAAACCCGGGGTTTCACTCGCGACTGGTGTCAAGGGCCTATCATTCACTATGCGCTCCACCTCGGTTAGAGCCGTGTTCAAAGTCTCATCATCGATGGACTGTTGGTTGCACACAGCCAATAGGATCCTTCTCACCAACCTTATCATTCGTTCCCAAACCCCGCCTTTATGGCTATCGTGCGGCGGGTTGAAGTGCCATTGGATAGTTTGGGATGTCAGTCGCTTGTGTAGTTCACTGTGGTGGACTCGGGACAGCCACCTTTGCAGTTAATTCGATGCATCCACGAAGTTTGAACCGTTGTCGGAGTAAATGCTGTTCGGGGCTCCGCGCCTGCTAATCAGCCTTTGGAGTGTCATCAGGAAAGATTCAGTAGACATACTGTGTACCATCTCTAAATGCACCATGCGAGACTGCATGCAGGTAAACAGACACCCGTACCGCTTCACCACCGATCTCCCGCACTTTACCAGCAAGGGGCCAAAATAATCCACTCCTGTCTCCGCGAACGGCCACTCACCCGTTCGAACCCTGAATTCGGGTAGGGGTGCCACCAGCTGCATTCCATTTACCGCATTTTGGCGTCGACAGAACATACATCTACCGGTGATCCCCTTTATTGCGGTTTTACCACGTGCTATCCAAAATCTCTCCCGAATAGCGTTCAGTAGGTGGTTAGTTCTCACGTGCCTGTTTTCTAAGTGGAGGTGGCGTATAAGCGAGGTGGTGACAGGGCTGCCGGCTGGCAGAATGATCGGATGTCTAGCATCGAAGGCCAAGGAAGAATTGTCCAGTCTCCGTCCTACGTGCGGCAACCCTTCAGTCAGTATAGGGTTTAGCTTACGCACCGCGCTCCGTTGGATTGCGGTCCGGTTTTGGTTCTTCCCTGCATTCGCTTGTAGAGTCATTGTTTCGAGGAGGAAATGCTGCAGTTTCACTAATCTCACAACCTTGTGCTCCACTCTCAATAGGTCGCCCGTCGATAAAGGTCCCATACGCAGCGATTTGTTAGGCCGAAATCCGGTCATGATCATTACCATATGTTTAAATCTTATCAACCAAGCGACGGAAAGAATCACTCTGTCCCAGGACGAGAAGCTTTCCAATTTCCTTATCAGGGGGAGGTGACGTCGCGTTCCACCGTCATGATTACCCGTTTTGCTTCTATCAATTCAACGGGCGCGGGGGTGAAAGCACTGTACTCTCGTCCTTTGACGCAGCGGTCAGAAAGGTTGGGCCTCCAAGCCAATCGCGTAGCTTGTCCAATTATTTCAAACCTCGGGAGCAGTGGTCGGCTGGGTTATCCGCAGATTTCACGTATCGCCATTGGTGCACCTTGGTCTCTTCGTGCACTACCGTCAGTGGATTGGAAACAGGTGCTGAACCTAGTGCTGACATTGTTCACATAGTGTATTACAATGGCTGAGTCGTTCCAGAAAGTGACGCGATCTTCGAATATACGAAAGCACTATCGCAAGTGCTTGGCTATACACACCGCTAGCACGGCCGCGGTCAGTTCGAGGCGGGGTATCGAAACGCATTTTAATGGGGCGACCCGGGCTTTGGTAAAGAGTAATTCTGTCTTGCGCTCGCCGTTCACATGCTGACAACATTCGTGGGCTACTGCTCCGTGACCCGTTTCAGATGCGTCGGAGAATAGGTGCAGTTCGCCCTTCGTCGCTTGACTGCTCCGGCTGAGTCTGCGCGNCACCTAATCTACTGAGACTGGTCAACCATTGCTCCCAATTCGTCCGGTCCCGGTGATCTAAGGGTTGATCCAACTCTGTCCTTTTTCGAAAAGGTTGTAGGAGGACCTTCCCCGGCAACAAACACGGAGCGATAAACCCGAGCGGGTCGTATAAGCTGGATACCGACGATTGCAGCCCTCGTCGGGTGGAATTCCTCTCGGGTAGCTTTAGTTGAAAAATGAACTCGCCTGACCCCGCGCTCCATCGCACCCTTAAGGTCGGCTCGATAGGGAGTGGCTGTGTGGTCAGGTTGAGAGCACCACTCGTTCTGTCAGTTTCGGGAACGTTGTCCAAAACTAAGCCATTTGGTTAAACGGAACCCCGTTTCTCCCGTAGATACTTCAGCTGCATTACGTGTTGCGAGGCTTCTCTTGCATTGTCAAAGGCGATCAGGAAGTCGTCGACATAGAAATTATTCGCAATTCTAGTTGACACCGAGGCCGGGAAGCTGTTTCCGTATTGCGAAGCTGTCCGCCGAAGTGCGAATTTTGCGAAAAGGGGTCGGGTAACCGCTCCGAATGGGTGAACGGTCAGTCTATAGTCTACTGCCGGATTCTGTAGCTCACCATCGGGCCACCATAGCAATCGCAGGGCGTCGCGCTGATCCTCTGGTATCTTGATTTAGAGGAACATCTCTTGTATATCAGCTGCCACTGCAACTGCTCCTAGTCGGAATCGGTTGAGCACGTCAATCAAGGGAGTGGTCCAATCCGGTCCCTGCAACAGACAGTCGTTAAAAGGGATGCCGCCGTACCGCGCCGCACAGTCAAATACCATGCGTATCTTCCCTTGCTTTCTGGGATTTGTTACCGAGTGGTGTGGCAAGTACCACAGTCTTTGCCCGCGTGGTTGTGAGACGTCCAACCGTTTTATGTATCCCAGTTGAACGTTCCGTTGCATTGCCGCAGCGTATTGTCGACGGAGATCTGTGTCACGGATCAGTCATTAACTTTTTAAGGTACTCTAACCTTTTTAAGGCTATCCAGCGATTGTTCGGCGATCGATCGTATCCCGTCCTCCATGGCAACGGTACCTCGAACCGGTCGGGCTGGCACCGTGTCCCTGTTTCAACTATTACTAAAGCCTGGTTGTCTTCTGCGGAAGGGCCCCCTTTCTGGTCACTCACGTCATCAAACTCATTATCATAAATCCTTTGGAGAGCTTGTTCGATGGTATCGTTTTTAGCGGTGGTGGTAGTTAACTGATAACGGTTTACGATTTGTCGCGTGAGGCGTTCCAAACAACGCCCACTCGAACATGGCGCGAGCAGCATATGGTTCTTTCCTGCTGCCCAGTCTCTGGTTCAGGACCCAGTGTGCTTCGGGCACGTCACAACCTATTAGCAAATTGACTTCGGGAGAGTAGGCTTCTTCGAAACACAAGTCTCGTAGGTGTGACCAACGCGCTGCTAATTCCCCGATCGATTCCACTGCTCGCATCGGCAAGTCGGCGAAGATGAAAGCTTCCGTCACCTCTACTCGTGCCCCATTGTCTAGCGAAACCATTATCACGTTTGCTTGATTGGTGGACGTCACTTTGAAGCCGTTCACCGTGCTGATCGCTAGGGAAGATGGTCGGTTTGCGATGTTGTGGTTTACGGCGAAGCGTTTGGTGATCAACGTGGTATCGGATCCGTTGTCGATGAACGCCATCGCCTTCGCTACCCCCCTGGGTGTTAATATGCCCACTGGTGTTACCCCAAGGCACACCTGCTTGTCCGCCGATTGAGACAGTAGACATAGACTGGGTTTTTGGGGTGCCGATAACTGGATTTCTCTTACAGAATGCAAGAGAGTGTGGTGGCTTCCTTGACACCCCGTTTCCTTGCATCTGCTACGGTTCCTACAAGCGGCCGCACGATGTGAGCCGTTTAAACAGGTAAAGCATGCACCATGTCTCTTGACTGCTTCCCAACGGTCCGGAACTGCTAGTTGTGCAAAGTTCTTGCACGCGGATAACTCGTGATTCAAGCGAGGCATCTGGGCGTGCCACGTTCTCCTATTGTCGCAAAGTTATTCGTGTTCCTAGAACCTCTCGAGATCTTATAGGTTCGTTCTTTGGTGTGATGTCTCTCTTCTCGCCTGCTCATGCTGGCCAGTTGTCCGAAGCGACTGCTGGCGACTTTGGCACGGTTTCAGATGAATTCCTTAGCTCAGTGAAGTTCGGTTCCCTTCCTATACGGTCAATAATCACTGCCTCCTCCACCCATCGCTGCTGTATGCCAGCCAGAAGGCATCGTACTATGGCCTCTATGGTGTGTAGTGCGTTCTTATCAGCTTCGTATCTCATTTAAGCCAGGGCAATGGAACAGTTTTGCATCTTCATTGCCAGTCGCACCAACGATTCGGGTTCGTTTCTCGCTTTACGGGCCTCGGCTAGCACCCCGTCAATGAGCGTCTGTGCCACGTGAAACGGTTGGCCAAACAGTTCCTTCAGGATGTCCCTTGCTCGGCTATACCCAAGTTCGTTTGGCAGCATTGCATTGGTTTTTATTTTTTTAAAATTTTATTTCGGGATTCGTATTGGTTTCGGCTACGCGTCACTCAAGTGCTAATTGACTGACATACAGACGGTAGCCGGTATACACAGGCTATGGATAGCCCAATGCTTCCTACTTTACTTGGATTTCAAGTGCATCTACATTAGACGTTACTAGTCGCTTCCTCTTCTTGCAGTCGTAGTGATCTGCTATGAGCAGCATCACTCCTCCACCAATCCTGCCGTCGTCTCTGTCCACCCTGCAGGTGATGAAGTTGGGTGGGCCTATGTGACTGACTCGGTCATTCTTTTGTAACCAAGGCTCAGTAACTGCGATCGCGTCGGCATAGTGCAGCCGTGCTCTCAATTCGCACCATTTGTTCCCTAAACATGGAGTGTTAGTATAAGCAGCATGAAAGGGAGCCGTCCTCCGTACTCTGGTGCCAGTATCGGAGGTGGCGGAATGGTGCTCAGTAACTAGTCCCGAGCAGTTCCTCCGTTTTTTGAGGAGCTCCCACGTGACTCTGTATTCGAGGGTTGTCTTGGCGTGCTTCCCGTTAAAGGCCCTTGGGTGAGTGCGAGATTTTGACCACAGGTGCAGCGCGTGCAGTTTGTGCACCCTGGTGTTCTAACGCTTTCATACAGACTTTTCATTTCCATGTCACCTAGCTTCGAAATCAGCAGTGCCGGCGAGCCACCGCCATGAACGCTCATAGCTCTATTCGAGCTAAAGAGCGGTTTACTCCTATCCACAGAGTGATCATCCGGCTCGACCCTGATAGTCCCCCTGGTTTTTGTTGCTAATATGCCCGCTGCAGCGAGGAACCTACCTCTGTGTTGAGGATTGGCAAGCTCCACTAGTGTGGGCCTAGGGTGTGTTTCCCCGAAACTGCCATTTTCCCAGCCTGATCACTCTATGACAACATGCCCTGGCATCTCTATCAGTCTTAACAGGTTCACAACGTGGTTGCGTACAGCTCCATTCCTCTGACCGCCTTCTTTCATAAACGGTTCGGGTAGCCCTTTGACCACCACATTTCGATTTCGCCCTGTGGGAATGTAGTTAGTTTTCTGGAGTCGACCGAGAGCTATGTTTATCTTTCCGTTGCGCTCTTCTACTTGCGTGGTTCTGTCATTCATTCTGTTCAGTTTGTTCTCAAAGTCCTTTGATTTCTCTTCCTGAAAACTTTCGCTTTTCTTTACTTTTTCGGCTTTCACCATTGTTCCAGTAGCTATGACGGTAGTGGAACCCTCCGTCCAGGTAAGGTGAGGACGGTTGTCCTCCAGTCTGATGCTATTTTCACTTTCTCGTCTGTTCCGGAGTTGCGGTATCTAAGGAGCCCTTTCTAGGCCCGGTTACGGGTGAAACGTTTGGTGATTTGGTGATGTGCGGTTGCTGATTAGCTACCGCCCTTGCCTTCATTTTGTACTCGGTGCAAAACCAAGGTAGCTTGACATGCTAGGAGTAGACTATGTAGATAGCTTTATAGAGATCAGCGCACTTTGGATGGAACCATAAAAAGCAGACCTCACATTGCATGCCTTCAAGTTCTACATCTACCTGGCACTTTTTTCCGCATCGGGATGCAGGCGGAGAAAGCTCGTTGGATTGTAGTTTTGCCTGTTTCTTGATCGATGCAGTAAAGCCTGATGTTCGGAAATTTCTATTTTGGATTCGTTTACTATTGTAATCTGAAAGTGTAAGCAAAAAAAGAGATTGGCAGGTTACTTTTTGACGATGTGGCAGATTAGTTACCTGTAATCATTTAGCTGGACCGATTTGCACCCCTTATGAGGTGCGCTACGTGGACAGTCCAGAGGTCCACCTAACATTACTTTGAGGGTACTCAAGGTTGCTGTCCACTGCCGAGGTGATGCCCACGGCGAATGTATCCAGTCTCTGCTTGAAGCACGCTGTCGTAGGCGCAGAGACCACTTCCGCGGGAAATGAGTTCCAAGCGGATGTGGCCCGGATGAAAAGATGTAACCGTCTGTTGTTGGTACTACCCTGCTGGTGCAAGACCATCTTAGAGTGTCCTCGCAGTTGAAGGTGCAGTGATAATGCTAATAGTTTGCTGTTCGGGTGAATCTGAGTTGATACTATTTTGTGTCAACTTCCGGAATAATCTCATTGTAACATCAGAACACAAGTCCGAAGGCGAACAATTGTTTTCGAATGATTCATAATGGTGCCTGTACATATCATATTAGGGTTTATTGTTAGTGGGGACACATTTTAATGCTGGGTCAGAAGGCCCTTTTGGGATGGGGAGAGGGGAGGGGTGGGGTAAGCCCTATGTGTTTGTGTTCGGATGGGACTGATTGTGATTGGAGTTCCGGTGATGGTGGTGATGTTGATGATCAATTTGGGGCCAGGGTAAGTGGAGAGCTAGCGGCAGTATCGACTCATTTGCTCTATTTCTCGTTTCAACGCTGTACTTTCTAAGTTGGCCATAAATACGCTACGTGAAGGACATATTCCGTCTCACACCAAAAGGTAGGAACACGGCAAGTTTGCCCCATGGATTCAACGAAGCTCACGAATCAATTCACTTCACATTGGAAATGATAATTTGGCCTTCCTAGATGTGGCACTCCTCCGAAGAGATGATGGTTCTCTAGAGCGTCAATATATAGAAAACCAACTTTTACAGCTTCGTCCCATTCAGACAGAATAGGAATTTAATTCAGAGCCGCACATCATGAGCGCGCAAGATCTGACAATGAGGTAAATGAAGAACTAACAAACATTATGGACGTCCTCAGAGAAAACGGTTATCCTGAAAGGTTCATTGAGAGGAACTTTCAGGAAAGGCGACAACCCAAACAGGTTTGTGACGCCCAAAAGAAGAGGCTATTCATTCGTCTACCTTTTCCAGGAGATGCTATATCAGACCTCGTGAACAAACGTCTGACGCGTGCAGTGAAGCGGACCTACAACGCAGCTCGTTCAACGTGTGTTTACTGGCTCACCCATCATCCGAACTAGCCACAAACATAAACTGCCTACGATGGCCACTTCTATGGTTATCTATTCTTTCCGGTGCGTTTGTAATGCAACATACATGGGCCTCACCGCGAGGCAAGTATTCCAGCGGATGAAGAAACACTGCCCACGCTCGTTAAAACAAGGAGGAACAGGAAGCATAGAAAGCGCCATTCTTGGTCGTCTAGTTGATACAGGCCATCAGATTAAACCAGAATCCGCTTTCAGCATAATTTTTCGAGTGCGCCCAACCCCTCTAAAGCAGTTCGCTTACACACACTAGCCAGTGCTGAGGCGATAGGCATTAGCCTATTCGCACCAGAACTATGTTCACAAAGTGACTGGTTCACTCTCTTCACTTACCCTGGCCCCAAATTGATCATCAACATCACCACCATCACCGACACTCCAATCACAATCAGTCCCATCCGAACACAAACACATAGGGCTTACCCCACCCCTCCCCTCTCCCCATCCCAAAAGGGCCTTCCGACCCAGCATTAAAATGTGTCCCCACTAACAATAAACCCTAATATGATATGTACAGGCACCATTATGAATCATTCGAAAACGGTCGTTCACTTTCGGACTATTTTGTGTATCAATATTAAGTCCCCTTCCAGCCTGCTGTAGGAAAGTGTGAAGAGGTTGAGTCACCTAAGTCTATCTTCGTAGCTCAGTTGCGATAGCCCCATGAATCGCTTGGTGACTCTTCTCTGAACCACTTCCAGTGCTTTATTGTCTCGTACTAAGGTTGGGGGCACACTTGAATGTTATATTCAAGGTGGGGTCTTAAGAAGATTCTGTATAACATTCTGAAGCACTCGGGCTCTAGTCTTCCCAGGTTCCGGTTTATTAGGCTCTGCACTAGGCTGCCTGGTTTCACTAGCTTAGAGCAATTTTGTGAGAAGTTTGGACGATCCGACAGAACCTACCCTAGATCTGTTTCTTGTTAAACAATCATCAATGGCACCGAGTTAAGGGAGTATCTGCTGTCGGTTTCTCTCCTGACGTGTACTACATGGCATTTTGACTGGTGCAAGAGAAGCCCATTTTCGATTTCGTATCTTCCGACCGTATCTAGGTTGCGTTGGAGGATTATTCTGTCCTCCTCTTTTCTGATACTGCGCCAGATCTTGACGTCATCCACGTATAGGAGACACTTAGTTGTTAATAGTCCCACCAAGTCGTTGATAAGCAGTATGAAGAGCAATGACCTAGTATACATCCTTGTAGTACTCCACCAAGAACTAAATGGTGGCTTGGAAGCTCCCTATTGACCCTTACCTGATAGCTACGACCACTTAAGTAGTCTTTCAGCCAGCTTAGCAACCTTTTCGTTATGCTACAATCGATGAGTTTGTCGCATAATTTTCGATGCTGTACCTTGTCGAAGGCCTTGGAGAAATCTATGAATATGACATCCACTCCATTCTCCGTGTCTGCTTCTTTAGTTCAATCGTCTGTCGCTGCTAGGAGGTTTCTTGAGCATGACCGGACCTTGCCGAATCCGTGCTGCTGTGGGTTGAGGAAGTTCGAAACTCTAAGAAATTCTCTTATTTCATCGTCCATTATGCTTTCCATTACTTTTGAATGTATGGAAAGAAGGGCTACTGGACGATAGTTTTCGGGGTTTGTGCGGGATCTCCATTTGTATATCGGAGTTACGATGCTAGCTTCCCAATCACATGGAAGTTTTCCAGTGTTCATGGATGCCGTAAACAATTGTGTGA